GTATAATACATATAATATATAATATACACACACACACACACCATACATTAGTATACCCCAGGGAACCACTAAGTTACTCCATAACAAAAAATCAAGACTGTAAAAAAAAGTACCCAAATGCGTATAAAATAGGTTCAGAAAATAAACTAAAAGTTTAGACTCTACAGTCAAAAATCTCCTCAGCCACTAGCTGGTCCACTAATTTACTTAACTGGTGATATCTCAGATTTCAAGACATATTCATCTGTAAAACTGAGATTTCATGAAGATTCAATGAATTTAATGCAAATAAATGTTGCAAAAGGACTTGACAGGGGATGGAGATATAGCTCAGTTGGTTGAGTATTTGCCTGGCATGTATAAGGCCCTGGGTTCAATCCCCAGCACCACCACAAAAAAAAAAAAAAAAAAAAAGTGGGGGGGGCCTTGATAGATACTAGCTATCACTATTACAGGTACATGAATTTTCTGAGTTTCCAAATCCCCCTATCAAGCAGGCTCTACTAAAAAGCCATTCTTCTTCCTAAAGGAAAATATTCACTAGATTTGTAGTACTGGTTAAGTCATTCCAAAAAGGGGTTTGGAGAGGATGAAGACTGGAACATTCATATACCACTGCAAGAGTGTAAATTGCTACAACCTTTCTAAATGGCAGATGGAAATATGTATCAAAAATTTTTAAGGTATAGTATATCCTTTGAACCAACAATTCCACTTCTAGAAACCTATCTGAGGGAAAAAAAAATCTCAAAGGTATACAGAGACATGTAAGGGCTGGGGATGTAGCTCAGTGGCAGAGTGCTTGCCTAGCATGTGTGAGATCCTGGGTTCAATCTCCAGTACAGAGAGAGAGAGAGAGAGAGAGAGAGAGAGAGAGATCTGTGTGTGCATATAGCCTAATCATTGCAAAGTTACTGATAATGGGCAGGGTAGGGGTGGCAACTAACGTCTAATAAAAATAAATTGGTTAAATTCTTGTAGATCCATAAAATGGAATATTATTCAGTTATTAAAACAACACAGATATGGAAAGACATTTGTAAGATGTTATAAAAATAAAGACAGGTTAGAAAACAACCATAGGTTACTAAAAGTTGTGTATGAACAGCCACATGAATATACAAAAATAAAAAATCAGATGAGACACATACTGAGGTAATGAATTTAACGTCTAGTTTAGTAATCCAATTTTTTAAAGTACCAATTTTTTACTGTCTAGTACCTAGAAATCAGCAAGGGATTTCACTTTTTTAAAATATTATTTTTTTTAGCTGTAATTGGACACAATACCTTCATTTTATTTATTTATTTTTATGTGGCACTGAGGATCGAACCCAGGGCCTTGAAAGTGCTAGGTGAATGATCTATCACTGAGATACAACCCCAGCCCAAGGGATTTCATTTTAAAGCAATGAATTTCTATTACTACCCTAAAGTACAATAGTGCAAAAATTAAATGGGTTAGCTTTTAAATTTTATATATTTTCATATAACCCAATTCTTTATGACCAATGTTAATTACCATTTATTCACTGGATATGTCTTAAGAATTTATGTATGTGTTTAGTAGTATTTAAATTTCACTACTACTCCCATTTTCAGCTGAAAAAACTGAGGCATGAAGAAGTTATGTGACTTGATCAAAGTCACTGAATGTGTAATCAAATCCAACATTCTCCACAGTTTGTGCTCTGAACTCTCCAACCCCAACTATATAACCACTTGTTATTTATGGGATCCTATGGTAGACTCTGAAAAGGGGGTGTAAAGGTCATATTTTAAGTTAGAAAACACACCAATTACCTATTTCCTGCAAACTAATTTTTATAGTAAGAAGTTGGGATTATCATGGTTTACAAAATGGAATGCAATATAATGATAATAAATGATTTACCACCACACTGTAACTTAAATTTATGTTTTGAGTACCTAAATAAATATTTTGCTTAGTCTTCTTCCTAGCATATCACCTTGAACACTCCATGCCAAGGAGACTCTCTCCTTTCAACACTAACTAAAGTTAAAGAAATAACTGGGATATAGTTCTTGTTGCTCCTAATTTATAAAACTTAGTGACTGCTAAGTGATGCAATTAATTTGACAAGTAAAAGTGTAAAAAACTGGCCTCATTGCAATGTAGTTCAATCATTCACTCAACAAATATTTAATTGAGTTCCTCCAGGCACCAGGCATATCAGAGTGAACTGGTCTCTGCCCTTCTGAAACATACATGAAAGTACAATTACTCATTTTAAGGTCATAGACTTTTTATTAGCAGCCTAGGGTATAAAACTTATTCTGCCACTTGAAAAACTTGTTATCTACTTCAGGAGCTGGTCCTAGGGGATACTCAGTAAACAGGAAGCACAATACCAGTGGTTCTCCAACTTTACTGCTCAGAAGTTCATGGAAAACTTGCTGAAAATACTGATTCCAGAGCCCCATCTCTGGCTGTCTGAGCTGAGGTGAAAGAAAACTTCATTTTTCCCAAGTTAGTGCAGATGGAAGAGATACGAAGCCCAGACTTTGAGAAACCCAACCTTGTAAGTGGAGTCATTTAGGAGGGAATGGCCATTCAAAAGAGAACAGCTCTGCGGCAGTGGAATCTGAGTGATACAACCCAATCTTTATATAACTAATTCTCTAAAACTCACAATTTAGCAAATTTGATAAGTCTGGAGGACAGGGGTAGCACAGTGGCAAAGCACTACTTAGCATGCTCCAGCTCCTGGTCAATCCCCAGCATCACCAAAAGGGGGGGTGGGGTGGAGAAATGAGTATGAGTGGAGGAATCTGCCAGCACCTCCCTCTTAATCTCATAATAGCTTTGAGGGTGTGCCTCAATCTAGACATCTAGGGAAAAGATAAAATTTATGCAGAATTCTACTACCAATACTAGAGATAAGCATTAAGAAAAAGGAAATTGCCAGTCACTGGAAAAAAAAATGCTAACATGGACAAACATTTCATGGAACTAACTTGGTACCACTCATTTTATGCCCTATTTCACAATGCTTAGTATCTGACCAATCCAGAGGGTTCCAAAGTACATTAAAAATGTGTTCATTTCCTCTCTTACTCAGGCAGAATAATAATAGAGTTTTGTAAAAGTACTATGCTCCTCAGCAATACGTTCTTAAAGAAATACTTTTTTTTTTTAATGTACTATCGGAAAGGCTCCTTATTGGGTTACTTACAGGTGTTTGAAAGATTTTTAACCCAATCACCCTATTCTTCATTTCTTAATTTAGATCACTTAAAAGTTCCTGAGTTCTTTATAAACTCCTGCAGAATTTTCACTTCTTTTTTTCATTTTTTTTAGTTCCAGATGGACGCAATGCCTTTAGTTATTTATTTTTATGTGGTACAGAGGTTTAAACTCAGTGCCTCACACGTGCAAGGCAAGTGTTCTACTGCTAAGCTACAACCCCAGACCCCAAATTTTTATTTTTGAACATTTTTCATATAGGTCAACTCCCATGAAAACCACATAAATGTTTCAAGAAAACTAATGAAAATTTTGTTAAGCAAAACACAGTATTTTGTTCTCAGAGACAGACAAACAGACATAACAACTATGAAGAGTAATAAAGCTACTTCACTCTCAAGCCTAGTCATCTAAAAATAAAGGTATCCCAAAAATACATTCCTCCTATTTGGGGGGTTTAGAGTGGGACCATGCAAACTAGCTGGACTGCTGGCTCCTGGCCCCAGTTCCTGCCCTCACGTCCTGTCCACTACATAATCCATGCATTAACTCTGAGCCTTTCTCTTCATCCGTTTAATGGGATTAGTAAATCTGCCTATCCAATGACAGAATTGAGATTTACCAGATGCATTTGTATGATATTTGTTTTTATTATCTATACTTTTATTGGACTTGTCTTTATTATCTCTACGTTTTTGACCACAGAAACAGCCAAGAGAAGGATGCTAACAGATAAGCACAAAGAACCGCATCTAGCCAGAGCTGAGTACATTTAAATTTTCAGGTTGGTTCTGTTTTCTAAATAGCACTAATGATGGCAAAGTTCGAAAGGAAACTTTCATATTCAAGAACCTATCAATCGAGAAATTGCTAATCTATTTCTTCATTTAGTCTGAATCACACAAAAGATTGACCATAGGAAAGGTAATCCAGAAGTTGTCTTCTAATCCAAAAGCAAACAGAAGTAAGGGGAGGTGCAACCCATTCCTCGCTGCTTTCCTTTTTCTGGAAATTCGGATTACATTTCCTCGTCCAAGCAAGAAGTGGCCGCAATTGTGCCGTGGGTCCATACCAGAAACCTGAGTCCGCGAGTAAGGGAGGGAAGGAGAAGCCGCAGACTCCGAGGGACGCGCTCACACTGCCAAGGGAGCCGTTTTCTGTTAAATACCATCAGAGGCAGTCCCGGCAGCACCCCTTAGGGCCAGACGGCATTGACTGCCCTTCACTGACAGGATTTTGCAGGCACGCCAGAGAAAAGAAAAAAGGATGAGCCGGGGAGTCCAGGCCGGGGTGGGGGGGCGGCGGGAGACACGACAGGCGGGAGGCGCGAGGCTGCTCCCGGCGAGCTCGGGTTCCCGGGAAGCTGGTGAGGCTGGGCCGGCCCGCCACCCTCCGGCGGCCGAGGGCAGCGAGGTCAGCTCTGGAAGGAACGCCCGACCGCGATGCCCCCTAAGGAGGGAGCCAGCTTGCCAGACCAGGGCTGCGGACGCCCATTCAACCCCAAGCCCGTCCCGCTGCCGCCACTCCCAGGCCCCGCCGCGGGAGCCCGGCCTCTCGCTGCCGGCCAGCCGGCCCCCAGCCGCAGCTCCCGGGAGGATGAGGAGGACGAGGTGGACCGGCGGCCGCTGCCGCGCCTCCCGCGTGCGCCGCACAGGGTGAAGGGCGGCCGGAGGGACGCGCGAGGAGCAGCGGGACCAGCGCCCCGGGCGGCCATCGCGCCGACCCCCGCGCCGACCCCCGCCCCCGCGCCACCTCCCACAGCCCAGGCCGCCGCCGTCAGCCCGCTCCTCACCTCATCTCCGGGCGGGTCCGCGCTGCCGCCCCAGGCACAAATCAGTGCAGCTCACACGCTGTTGGGAGGGACGCAGGAGCCGCAGCCCCGCACACCATCCCCGCCCGCCTGCCCGCCCGTCCCGGAGCCCGCTCGGGAGTCTCCCTCGCGAGCCGCCGTACTACGGAGCAACCAAGCTGCGCTCCCTCCCTACGCTCCTCCACTCCTCTCTACCTCCTTCGCTCCCTCCCTCGCTCCCGCCTATCTCCTCATCTCCCTCCGTAGCCTCCTCCGCCCCCATCCACCCCTCGGTCTCCGCCCACAGATAGGTGGTCACAACCGTCTGCCAATCGAAAGAAGATGACCACACCTCCTCACCGCCCCCTACCGCTGGCCCTGCCCACCGGAGGATGCTAGGAGAGAGAGCTGAAGAAAAATGGAGGAGTACGGAATGACACACAGATAAGCCAATCAACAGGCTCGGAGAGAAAAACCTCTTCCTCCTCTCCTGCCCCTCCTCCCACAAAGGCGTAACCAAAGGTTTCGGGTCTAGGATTTATGGAGATTTTCTTCCACCATTTGGTGCATCTGCTCGCTGCCGTGCGAAACAATGGCTACGATGCATTCAACTAAATTACGTAAGGTTTTACCGGAAAGTATGTAGTGGAGAAGAAAAGGGAGTCAGGGTACAGCCCGAGGAGGGTGTAGTAGGGGGGCTCAGTTGGAATGAGGAAGGGTGTGGCTTTAACTTAGATTTGCATAAAACGGAACCCATCCGGGCGACTTCAACTTCGCCCATTTATTGGTAGCCCATGGGGCGGTACCTCGCTTCGCCCCTTTTGGAGCATGCTGGGAGTTGTAGTTCCGAGTTTGGTTGCTATGGCGTTTTCTACAGCCTCCTGGAGCCCGGCCCCGCCCTGCAGGAGTGACGAACTGTCGGACCAATGGGAGTACCATCTGATTTCGAGGGGGCGGGTTCCCTGCAGAAAGACTGGAAGGTGGCGGTGGCGAAGGCGCTGGCAGTTGGGGCTGCTTGGAGGCAGGTGAGCCCCGGGAAGCATGTTATGTGTCTGGAGAAAAGGGACTGTGGGCGGAAGATGGAGAGACATCCCGAGGAACAGTGTAACCCTGGGAGAGCTGGTGGTTCGTGAAGCTCCCCAGCCTTGGACTCACTCGGGCTCTGGCCTACCTTAGCTGAGGCTACTGAGGGGCGGGTAAGACTAAATTTGACTGGCAGCTTCCTTGCGCTTTGCAGGTCTTGATTGTAGATTTTGGCTTAGTTTACATCTTCCTTCACATTTGTGGAGGCGAAGGTCTGGAAGTTCTCTTCCAGCTGTATCTCCCAGTTTGAATTTTGTTTCTTCCACTTCTTTTTGTTCCTATATTTGAGTTTCTTGCTTCATTACTCTTCTGCCTTTGCTTGCTTCCTGTAGACTTTCGTTTTTCAGTAAGCAATTACCTAGAGCAAGGGTATTCTTATTTATGTGACCTTAGGGCCAGATTTGTCCTCTTCATTAAACTAAATAGCGGAATACACAGGAGAGACACATGGGAACAATCATAGGATCACGTTCATATGCAGATGCTGATTCTGTATGTCTCGCCCTAAGGACCTACATTTACAACCAGCTCCCAGGTGCTACTAGTCCTCGTTAGCAAGATTCTACGTCACCTCTGACCACTATGAAGATAATTCGATCTACTTAGGATTTTCCTTGTGGCAACATTTAAAAAGTGAAACGAAACATGAATTTTAGGTTTCATTTAACCCAATATATTCAAAATTATTTCAATGAAAAAAATCAAAAAAAAAATAAAAAGAGATTGTGTTTTTTTTCATATTGAGTCTTCCAAATTTAATATGCACTTTACACTTAACAGTACGTATCAATTTTGAATACACACAGTTCAAGTGCTCAATAGCCACCTGTAGCTATTGGCTGCTGTTCTACCATCTACAATATAGAGCCAAATGATAGAATGGACTATTGTAGAAATTAGAATTGTTGCATGTGAACAAGCCTTTGCTGCTCTGGGTTTCAGAACTACTTTAGAGGTTCTCTGCCCAACTTAAAGAAATAATAAAGGTAATTAACATTTGTTGAAGCCAAGTCAAGTGCTTTGCATAGATTACTGTATTTAATCCTTGCAGCAACTCTCAGAGGTTACTAAGAATTCAAAGCAGTGTCATTTAGGACTTCTAAATTTTATCCATCATCCACTGCAAAGTAAAAGTATTACCTTTTGTTTTCACTTCATTGATACTTCTGCTCCAGCTGTGGCAGAGGATGATATGTTCAAATTTGAAATATGAATTCCCCATAAAAAGTCAAACTGCCTGACATTTGCAGTGAAATAGAGTTTGATAGTTTTACTATTCTCCATGCTGGGCATTTCAATCAAAGTTCTGTATTTAAGAATGAGAGTTGAAATCCTGAAGGAGATTTAGACCTCTGGACCAGTACTGGACCCTGGGCAGTAATGGCTTTTGATTAATTGGTGTACCTCCCTGAAGAAGGAAGGTGGGAAAGCTTGGGAATTCATAAATTGCTTCACTGTGACAGTGTTTTCTGTTTTTGTTTGTGGTGAATTTTTTTTTTTTGAGTGATAAAAATGAATGTTTTCCTCTTATTAAGAACTGCTCTTAGACTGTTTCAAGGACAACTTTATGCCTTTTGTGAATCCAATAAATAGTGCTACATTGAGCTAAGGAAAGCCTTGAGTACAAGAACAAGAGTACACATACTCACACGTGTTAAAATATGGTACTTCACAAAATAATTTTCTTTCATTTTTATATATTATGATACATTCCATGAGATTATTTGCTCTTAATTTTGAATTTTTTAATATTTAATCAAAATTACCAATTCATGTTTGCCTTTAAACCAAGAAATTATTTCAGGACCCTATAATGAATTGAAAAGTAAGCCTTAAGATTGTAATGCTATTAGTAGGTAAAGATTTTGTACCAGACAGGAAGGAGAAAGTGTTATAAGAAATTAGGGAAGATTCCTCAATTGACTGTCTCCCTCATCTCTACCCATCTCTACCCGCATTGTCCCAATATCATGTCATATAGCCAGTTTAAAAGGGGACATTCCATTCATTACACCATTGACTCTATTTTTTTCCCAGTAGCACAATGTGGGAAAGGTGATGCAAATTCAAGAAATGTAATGAAATTTTAAGTTTCAGTTGTCCTAAATTGTACTATTAATTGGCCTTCATTGAATAATAACTAGTCCAGAGGTTTCCAACCTTTGGATAATCACCATCTCAATCATTCCCTACATGCTAATGGCATTAGAAAGGGAATGCCTCCTATAGGAAATCCTAGAATCTATTTCAGTATCTCCTGTGCCAAACAGGCACAGCAAAGCAATGCAACTGTTTACTCAAGATATCTGTATACTCATGGCTTTTGCCAATGTCCTTAAGTAAAATATATTCTGTGCATTGACCCATAATCCAAGTAAAGCTCTCATGGAATGAGGGGAAATATTTTAAAATTCTTTAGGGATCCAAAATGATCTTAGTTGGATGCCTTGCTGCTCAGTGTGGAAACGACATATTGAAATTTTTTTTTAAATTTCTTTCAGTTGTTGATGGACCTTTATTTTATTTATTTGTGTGTGGTGCTGAGAATCGAACCCAGTGCCTCACGCATGCTAGGCAAGCACACTACCACTGAGCCACAACCCCTGCCCCTTATTGAATATTTAAGTAACAATGTGACACTTCCAAGCAAATACTTCCTTCCTTTCTTTCTTTTTTTTTTTTGCTTCTGACTAAAGGCTGTATCAAATTTTTTTTTTTATTTTTTTATGCTTCTCCAGCTATCTTTAGTTCTCAGTTTGCATGAAATGTAGGGATTATGCTACATATGCATAAAGTTAGTTGAGTATGTCTTGAAAATATTTATAGAAATCTATATTGTCATAATTAGAAGAAACCTTAACAGTCATCTGATGATCCTGCTGCTCCACTTACCTGATGCTTGAACCCTCATTTTGAAGCCCCTGTGACTATATCCATATGTGACTATATTTGCTAGACTTGATTTCTAAGGTTTAGCCAAGTGTAAGTACCTATCTCAGTATCTCCTGTACCCAACAGGCACAGAAAAGCAGTGCAATTGTTTACAACAAAATACCTGTGTATTTCCAATGTCCTTAGGGTACACAAATTTTTAGTGACTCTTGTGTATATGATGTAGACTATTAGGATCATATATCTACCTCCCTCGTGAAGCTCAGCTGGCCTTTCTGGATTTGGTTAGCACTGCCATCCTCCACAGCCTGCACAGTATGGTATTTGAACCAAATCTCCAGATAGTTACTTTGATTACACTTTCCATATTTTTAGCCAAATATTTGGGCATGTGGTTACTCATATTTCTTTTTCTGATATATGGATATATATGAAAAAATTTCAGATTATTAAGAACATCATTAAAACAATATCATATTACATTTTCCCAGAAGTTCAAAATATAACAATCCAAGCTAGGTGGCCCATGCTTATAATCCCAAAGACTCAGGAGGCTGAGACAGGAAGATCACAAGTTCTAGGCCAACCTCAGCAAATTAGAAAGACCCTGTCTCAAAATAAAAAGGCCTGGTCATGTTGCTTAGTGGTAAAGTTCCCCTGGGTTCAATCCTTAATACCAAGAAAAGAAAAAAAAAGTTATATATTGTTCTGTGCCTAGCATTACATGAGACCCTAGGTTCAATCCCAGCCCTACACACAGGACTTCCAATTTAGCAAAATTTATATTAGAACATATAATTTTGAAATTACATGACTTTGTTAGAAATGTCATGAAAAGTAATTTCTATTTTTATTCTGTAAACTGTGCATTGATTTCATGTGTGCAGATCTTTTTTTGTTGTTTTTTTGACTTTGGTAGTTGTAGATGGACAGCATGCCTTTTTTGTTGTTGTTGTTTATTTTTATGTATTGCTAAGGATCCAACCCATTGCCTTACACATGCTAGGCAAACACTTTGCTACTGAGCTATAGCCCCAGCCCCTACAAATATCTTTAAATTCAGAAAACGTTTTATTACATAAAAAACTCAATGTCCCATTTAATTGAGACTAGTGCCTAAGAAACCTTGTGGGCCTTGA